GACAGCTGCACCCGATTAATGTCACAAGACCCACTGTAGCCTTGCTCACACTTCGGGGTGAGGGGTCAGTACTGGAGGAGGGGCAGCTTCCAAGGGACAATGGGAGATGAACATATCACCCTGCTTACAAACAGACTCAGGTAAGGCCAGACTCAAACAGAGAGAAGGTCAACAACAGGTACCACAGACTGTGAGGATATAGAGGGTCTCCAACAGAAGAATGTAGCAAGGGGATTATTTTTGAGACCTTGTTGTTGTTGTGTGCTGTTGAGTCAGTTCTGCCTCATAGTGACCTTACACAGGGTTTCTGAGAGTGGCTGGTGGATTTGAACTGCCGACCTTGAGGTTACCAGTGCTTATCTTACAGCACATTGCTATTCCGAACAATCCTGAATTCTTTATTGACACAAGGTGTCCCATGCTTTGAATTGAGATGTCAATGATTCACGGCACAGGGTGGACGCCACCTGGTACAAGGTGGTCAGTGCTTTAAGTCAAAGGATCTTGGATCAGTGGTCAGATAATAGTCTTCAAAGTCAGGTTTTGCTGCATGAGAGAAAACAGAGACCCACAATTTCCAAAGTTTTCCTCCACAGGTCAGGAGGCCGTGGTGTGATACGGAAGGATGCTTTAACACTAAGAAAACTCTCTCTCCTGCAAGCAGGGGCGTGCCCTTTGTGTGCTAAAAGGAACATGGGAGAGTCTCAGCCATCAAGACCACAGAAGATACTTCTGGGCTCCGAAGAAGACAAGCCAGCACTGACAACCCCTGCATTTCAATCGGAGTGGGTCCTGAGGAGATTAGCCCAGTTTCCACTAGGAGCTCGGAGCCCCTGGTGGAGGTGGTGGAGTAGCTAGCCTGAGCTGGACATGGAAGGTACAGGAAATCAACTAGGACGCCTGGGCCGCAAGGCACATGGGGGTGGGAAGCTCCCAGGAGCAGCCACAGAAACCCGCTCAGGAATCACACTAATTGTGGACATGCTGACCACAGACACGCCAAGGACAGAGGTCCACAGCCCAAGCCCATACAGTCCGAGCTGCGTGTCCCCTGGAAGCATCAGCAAAGGATGCCTGGAAAGAACGCCGCTTTCCCCATGTCTAGGTTTCCTGGAAGGAGTCATGGAAAGGAAAAAGCGGTTGGGGAGCGGAACCATGAAATGACTTCTGGCCCCCAGAGACCTTGCATTTACCTCCAGAACCGACAGAGAGAGAACGCCTTCCCCGAATGCCAGCACCCTGAATTTGGACCTCCAGCCTTGTTGTGGTGCTAGGGGATCATCACTGGATTGCTAACTACAAGGTGGATGGTTCAAACCCACCAGCTGTTCCTTGGAAACCCTACCCAGGATAGCTATGAGTCAGAACCGACTTGATGGCATTTAATAACAACAACAACAAAGGAGTTGTGGTGTGGCGCTGTGGGCGACTGCAAAGTTGTTGGCGGTTCAAGTTCACCGGCCGCTCCTTGGAAACCCTATACAGGGTTGCTATGGGTTGGAATTGACTCGACAGCACTTTATAAAGTTTGGGTTTTTAAAGCCATCCATTTGTGTGTTTCTGTGATAACAGCACTGGAGAATTAAGACAGCTACCACTTCTGCAGGTTAGTGAGCTGGACTGCAAAGGCATGTCGACCGCAAGGTCGGCGGTTCAAGCTCACCCATCACTCCTGGGAAACCCTATACAGGGTCGCTATGGGTCAGAACCAACTCGATAGCACTTGCCTAAAGAAGAAGAGACTATCTCTTAGCCAGACTCTGGAATGGGAGTCACCACTCCCTTTTTTTAAAACATGGTAGCCTAGCGCCACCTAGTGACACAAACTGAGAACTTCCTCTGTTGTGCCGTGGAGTCAGTTCTGACCCATGGCGACCCTGTATAGGGTTTCCAAGGAGCAGCTGGTGAGCTTGAACCGCCGACCTTGCAGTTCAAACAGCTTTGCAGTCTGGCACATTAACCCACAGCGCCACACCAGGACTCCCTTAGCAACATACCAATAACAAAAGGTATTGTTCTTGTTAAGTGCGGTTCGGGGGTGGTGGATTTGAACTGCCCACCTAGTGGTTAGCTGTCCAATGCTTACCCTAAAGTGCCACACCAGAACTCCATATGGCAAGGGGTGGTCAACACCAAACTAGGGACTAAAGGAGAACGCAGCAGAGCCAAGTTTTTGCTTCTGACTTGGTGAGACGCTGCTCGTAAGCATCACTCAGCATAAAACCTGTATGCTGAGCACATGACCCGAGAAGCTGGCTTATATGAAGAGCTTATATCAGAGGAAGACTCAATCTAACAACCTGCAACATGCAAATGAAGCAAGCTTGCTTGCTGAAAGCGAAGACGACTTAAAATCCTTACTGCTGAAGATCAAAGATCACAGCCTTCAGCATGGCTTGCACTTCAACATAAAGAAAACAAACGTCTTCAAAACTGAACCAATAAATAACATCATGATAACTGGAGGGAAAAAAAATTGAAGTGGTCAAAGGTTTCATTTTACCTGGATCCACAATCAACATTCATGGACACAACAGTCAAGAAATCAAATGATGTATTGCATTAGGCAAATCGGCTACACAAGCCCTCTTTAAAATGTTCAAGAGCAAAGCTATCAATCTGAGGACTACTGTATACCTGACCCAAGACATGGTATTTTCAATAACCTCATGAGCATGCGAAAGTTTGGACAATGAATAAAGAAGACCGCAGAAGAATTGATGCATTGGAGTTATAGTATGGGAGAAGAATATTGAAAAGCACCATGGACTGCCAGAAGAACAAACAAATGTGTGTTGGAAGAAGGAGACTAAGAATGCTCCTTAGAAGCCAGGAGGGTCAGACTTCGTCTCGTGTACTTTGGGCATGCTCTCAGGAGGGACCAGTCCCTGGAGGACATCATGCTTGGTAAAGTGGAGGTGTCAGTGAAAAAGAGGGAGACCCCAAAGAGATGGACTGGCACAGCAGTAATGGGCTCAAGCATTAACCGTTATGAGGCTGGTGCAGAACCCGCAGTGTTCCATTCTGTTGTGCACAGGGTCACTATGAGTCAGCGCCAACCCTGCAGCAACAACACAAGAGTGACTACGTAGGCCCCGGGAGACAGCACAGAGTCAAACTGTCGCGTTTGGATCCTGGCTCCACTAGTCTCCTTCCCACTGCCACTCATAGAAGCCCTGTGTAGGGTTTCTGAGACTGTAAATCGTTAAGAGAACAGAAAGCCTCATCTTTCTCCCTTGGAGTGGCTGGTGGGTTTGAACCGCCGACCTTGTGGTTACATTGTACCACCAGGTCTCCTTTGTTAGCTCCCAGGAAGAATAAAATATCAGCCCGTCCCATTCTCAGGGTTGTTCTGCAGGCTTCATGAACTGACCCTGGTAGAGTTCAGGGCATAGAGCCTGGCCAAGTCAGGGTCCAAAAGCTGTTCTCGATTATGGAGTCTCCGGGTGGTAAGAATAATTAACGTGCTCAACTGCTAGCTGAGGGGCTGGAGGTTGGCGCCCACCCAGAGGTGCCTTGGAAGAAAGTACTTGTTAAAAAAAAACATTCACTGAAAACCCTGTGGGTGTCATGCCCACTACCAACTGCTCTGAAAGGGATCACACTAGTAGGTCCTGGATAGATGTGGAGAAAAAGGGGAACAAAACTCAAAGTCCTAACAAAAGACCAGGCTTACTGGTCACAGTCTGTGGCCCTTGGTCACCTTTCAGGTCTGGAACAGAACTCACCTTCAAGACTCAATTTTCAGTCAAGCAATAGATAGGTACGTGGGAGGGGTGGGGTGGTGAACAACACAGCTGAGGTAGGCACACCACAGAATGGTCAACCATTCGAGATTCAAAAGGCAGCATTTAACTAAGGGTTAAATTCAGCAGGGTCAGGCAAGAAGGAGGAATGGAAACCAAAACAACAGGGAGGAAGGGGATAAGTGAGGTCACATGAGGGGACTGCGGTCACCGACATAAAACGAAGTGTATGATTTGTTGAATGTAAAATTGATGATGTGCTCTGTAAACTCAATTCACAACAAAAAAACCTATTGCCTTGAGACAATCTTTAACCATTAGCCAAAAACATCCCTGAAGTCTCCTTAAAACTAAACAACCGTTCAACCTAGCTAGTAAAGAACGTGGAGTTCTGGTGTGACTTTATGGGTTAATGCACTGGAATGCAAAGGTGGTTTGAACTGCAAGGTCGGCGGTTCAAGCTGCCCGGCTGCTCCTCAAAAACTCTAGACAGAGTCGCTATAGGTCAGAATCGAGTTGATGGCATTTAATGACAACAACAGAAAAGAACGTGGAGTCCTGGTGGCACAATGGGCTACACACTGGGTTTAACTGCATGATCACTGGTTCAAATCCATCAGCTAGTCCATGGGAGAAAGATGAGGCTTTCTGCTCCCACAAAGATTTACAACCTCGAGTTGTAAAAGCAGGGTTGCTATGAGTCAGAACGGACTCAATAGCACACAAGCAAAGAACATCTGCCTTGAACATTTTGCTCTTTCAAGACCTCTCTGTATGTGATCAAATTGTAACCAACTCACCCTCCTGTTATGTGAATGGGGGAGGAACAACCCAAAAGGAGGGTGAGCTGTTTGCAACTCAAAGAGGGTCAACAACGTCGTCACTGACTGTACACGCAGAAACAGTAGTGGGGGCACATTCTGCTGTACATATTAGCAACAACAACAAATAAATTTGAAAAACACAGAAAACCCTGGAGCACTCTTCTGCTCTGACACACACAGACACCGTGAGTCCAACAGAAGTGGTTCAGCTATGTAACTGGCTCCTTCTCATTGTGTGACAGCTATTGCAAAAACCCAAGTTGGGCTGCTAACTGCAAAGCCAGCAGTTTGAACCCACCAGCTGCTCCAGGAGAGAAAGATGAGGCTTTCTGCTCCCATGTGGATTTTCAGCCTCAGAAGCCCTGTACAGGAACACTAGGCATCAGCGGTGACTGGATGGCGTAGTGCTGGCACCATGGTCTACACCCACCTTGGTCACTGCGGTCAGAATCTTCACTGTCGTTGTCCTCTAAGATGACCCCCAGGGAGCTGGTGTTGCTGTCATAGACCACGCAGTACCTCACACACTCCAGGTCCACAGATTCGGGGACCATGTACTTGCCTTCCTTCTGAGGACACCACAAGAGAGGCCTGTGGGTGGGTGGGCCCCCTGCAGCACACATTCCCTGCACCCCATCCCGAGGCAGAACTTTCTGCTACTCCACACCCCAGGCCTGGAAGCACTGAGAGAGACACTGAAGAGGATGTGGGACTCCTGGGTCCTTCCACACCCCAGTCCCTTCCTGTCCACAGAGCCCAACATTTAGTGCTGCCTCCCAGGGAGGTCTAGGATAAAGCCTCCCATTCCCCAGGCAGTCAGCCTGTCCCACCACCTGACCACCACTGCACCTGCTTCACTCGGTGAGCCGTAATCACATGGCTTTCATCATACTCCCATTTGCTGCGAACATCTGAAAAAGAAAAGTATTTCAACAACAGTGTGCGAGCTTGTATGTACATATACAGGTGGACTTTGGGGGTGGCACTGTAGGATCAGCACTGGGCTGTAAACCACAAGGTCAGCAGTTCAAACCCACCAGCTGCTCCTCAGAAACTCTGTAGAGAGTAGCTGTGTCGAAATCGACTCAACGGCACTTACCAACAACAACATTCGCATATAGTCACATATATGGAGTCCTGGTGTGGTGCTGTGGATTCATGAGTTTGAAACACAAGTTTGGCGGTTCAAGCTCACCAGTTGCTCCTCGGAAACTCTAAACAGGTTTGCTATGGTTCAGAACCAACTCGACAGCATTTAACAACAACAACATAGGCATGCATACACACACACACATTTGTGTGCTGCATATACACCCATATATACAATAACACACGTAGTTACGGACTCCCTACACATCCAGATAACTTGCAGCATTAATTTACTGGGTTAAAGGACTAAGGGTGGTAAGTGCTTTCATTTCCAACTCATAGCAACCCTGTATAGGGTTTTAGAGGAACAACTGTGTTAGTGTGCACTGCCAACATTGCGGTTCAGTGCTTACCCTATAGCGCCACACCAGGACTCCAAGGACAATAGTTTCTGGGATAAGTTAGTTATCCCAGAAACTGGATCAGCATAGTTCATGAAGTCAATGTTTTACAGTTCAGTTTGGTGAGCAGTGTTTGGGGTCTTGAAAGCTTGCAAGTGGACATCTAAGACACATTTATTGGTCCCCAGTTGTCTGAAATAAAAGAGAGTGAAGGAAATCAAAGACTGAAAGTAGAAACCACTCCACACGAACCACGATCGCTCCTAACCTGAAGCTAGAACTAGATGGCGCCTGATTACCACTACACTGGGGACATATGTTGTTGTCGTTGTTGTTGTTAAGTGCTGTTGAGTCAGTTCCAACCAAGGAGTGATGAGTTTGAACCACCGACCTTGCAGTCCAGTGCTTTATCCCACAACACCACACCAGGACATTATTTGTTGTTGTTGTTAAGTGTTGTCAAGTAGGTTCCAACCCATAGCAACCCTGTATAGAATTTCCGAGGGGCTGCTGGTGAGCTTGAACTGCCAACCTTGCAGTTCAAACAGCTTTGCAGTCTGGTGCATTAACCCACAGCGCCACACCAGGACATAATTGTTATTGTTGTTAGTGCCATTGAGTCGGTACCGACTCATAGTGACCCTAATGCACAACAGAATGTAACACTGCCCGGTCCTGGGCCAACCGCACAATTGTTGTCACGCTCGGGACCACTGATGCTGCCACCCGGCCAATCCATCTCGCTGGAGGTCTTCTCTTTCTCTGACCCTCCACCTTACAAACATGATATCCTTCTCCAGCAACTGGTCCCTCCTGACAACAAGTCCGAAGTATGAGAGATGAAGTTTGGCCATCTTGGCCTCCAAGGAGCACTCTGGCTGCACTTTTTCCAACACAGATCTGTTGGTTCTTTTGGCAGTTCATGGCACTTTCAATATTCTCCTCCAACACCACAACTCAAAAGCATCAATTATTCTATGGTCTTCCTTATTCACTGTCCAGGTTTCGCATGTATATGAGGTTACTGAAAATACCATGGCTTGGGTCAGGCGCATCTTAGTCCTCAAGCTGACATCTTTGCTCTTCAACACTTTAAAAATGTATTGTGCAGATTTGCCTAATGCAATACGTCATTTGATTTCTTGACTGCTGCTTCCGTGAGTGTTGATAGTTGATCCAAGAAGAATGAAGTCCTTGATAACTTCAATCTTTTCTCCATTGATAAGAATGTTGTTTACTGGTCCAGTGGTGAGAATTTTTGTTTTCTTTACACTGAGATGCAATCCATACCGAACGAAGGCTGTGCTCTTTGATCTTCATCAGTACATATTTTAAGTTCTCTTCACTTTCAGCAAACAAGGTTGTATCATCTGCATATTGCAGGTTGTTAATGAGTCTTCCTCCAATCCAGGATATTATGGTGGCGGTGGTTATGTGCTGTGGAGTCAATTATGACTCATAGCAACCCTGCTATGAGTCTGTAAATCTTTATGGGAGCAGAAAGCCTCATCTTTCTCCTATGGAGCAGTTGGTATAGAAGGTCTCAAATAGAATGGGAAAAAATTTTTAGAACAAAAGGTCAACCCCAGAAAGAGGCTAAAGCTACTGGACCAATAGACTAGAAGAGCACCCAGGATGATTCTGCCAAGATACCCTTTGAAAGCAGAACTGAAGGCCCTCCTACAGGCCACCTTTCAGCCATATAGTAATGTGCCTCCTAATCAATCTAAAGTCAACAATGACCCAAAAGCAAAGATGAGAAGGCACGGTAGATGGGGAGGCTAGATCAATGGAAATAGAACCAACAGAATGGAAACGAGGAGAATGCTGACAGTGTGAAAAGTTAACCAAAGTCACAGAACAATCTGTAGAAATTATTAAATGGGAACCTAATTTGCGGTGTAAACTTCCGACTAAAACACAATAAAATTGTTACTCTTAGGTACTGTCAAGTCAGCTCTGACTCATCGCAACAGAACGAAACACTGTGCGGTCCTGAGCCATCCTCACAATCGTTGCTGTATTTGAACCCATTGTTACAGCCACTATATCAGCCTTCCTCATCCTCGCTAACCCTCTCCTTTACCAAGCATGATGTCCTCTTTCAGCGACTGGTCCCTCCTGATAACACGTCGAAAGTACATGAAACAAAGCCTTACCATCCTAAGTGCTCTAAGGAGCACTCTGGCTGAATGTCTTCCAAGACAGAGCTGTTTATTCTTCTAGTAATTCATGACACTTCCAATATTCTTCACCAACACCACTATTCAAATATATCAATTCTTCTCTGGTCTTCAGCTTTCACATGAATATGAGGCATTCGAAGATAGCATGGCTTAGGTCAGGAGCCCCTTAGTCCTCAAAGTGACATCTTTGCTCTTTAACACTTCAAAAAAGGTCTTTGGCAGATTTGTCCAAGGCTTCCTTTGATTTTTCTTTTTAATGTTTTATTGTGAATTATGTGATAGTTTACATGGGAGAACATTAGCTTTACATTCATCCTATCACATATCGTTTCATTGCCATGGTTACATTTTCCTCCATGCATCACCAAATCAACCCTGAAAGCCTGCACTCTGGTCATCAGCACACAGTTCCTCTCCCTCTCTGGGTCTAGAGTCCCCAGCCATTCCCTCTCTTCACGTCATCGTCTCTCTGCCTCCATCTCTGACATCACTGCTTCTCTGGGTAGGGTCCCGTACTCTGCTCTTCTCCCATGATGGCCCCAGGGACCTCCACTCCTGAACTGCAAAGTCAACCACTCCTCTCATTTGGCTACAACATGTCCACCTTTACATTTCCAACCCTCACAGTCAGTCCTGATAGCAATTGTTCACTATTGTACCATATGAGTCCTATCCCCATTTCCTTTTATCAGCCCTACCCAGACAGATGGGATACTACTCAGTGGAGATTCTACCTTCCTCTGCACTCTCTTGATCTAGGCTCCTCTTGAAAGTTTGTAAGCCAGTCACTTCTTGCCTTTGTAGCCTCCCATTTTGGGTAGTCAATGTCCAAGTTGCCCATCCCCGTCTACCCTGTATATCAAGGGGGCAGGAATGATCCTCTTTTGAGCTACTGCATCCATAGGTGCAGGTCAAATTCATCACACTGTATCAGATTATTCTTTTTTACCTCTTCTTTCTTCTTCTAGTTGAGTTCTGATCATTCAGCCATTGAAGCCAGGTCAAGTAGGTATAATCTGAAAGTGTGGGTGTTCTTGTGCATATGCCCTCTCTTCTTATCTGCTGGATGCTTCACTCTCCACTCTAGTCCTCTGTGGCTATGTCACTGACTCTGGGCCTAAGAATCCCCAGGTCTTGCCATACTGCTGGCCAACCAACTCTCTTCCCAGATTCACAGGAGTCTATTGAACGTGGTAGGGCTTAGCTTGCT